AATAAATATTTTGTCATGGATAAATTAAACTCTGTGCAAATGAGCATGTCTCTAATTTCATTTTACCTTTTAATAAGAACATGTAGATGTATTTTCTAATGCACCTTGGATTTGCTGTGTTATATAGCATCTTTTGTAGGTGAGTTATGTAACACGCCTTAGTGTGTTATGAAACACCCCTTATAAGGTGCTGTAAACATGACTGACCTGAATGGTGTGTTATACAGCACAACTTTAGGGGTGTTAAATTAACACACCTTTATTAAAGTGTAGAGAAGCTATTTGTAACATGTGTAAGAAGAGAGGGCATTATCACAGAGTTTGTCGTTCTACTGCCACAGTCAGTAATAATTCCATACCTGCACAGTCTGCTTATATAACTTTGGCTGCAGCAGGCAGCATTGCATAGTTCATGTGTTGGTATCTCAGTAGAAGGAAAAACTGTCTCAGCATTGATAGACTGTGGAAGTACCATAGTTTTATACACCAAGATTTGGTTAAACAACTTTCACTGACTGTACACCAGACTCAGGAAAATGTAATTATGACCACCTCAACATTTTCCACAAAGATCCAGGGTATTGCTTCACTGATATAACTTTGAAAGGCAAGCTATATTGAAATGTTAACTATATATCTTGCCTAATTTGTGTACTGATATTATTCTCGGACATGACAGAATTGGCAAGCACAGCACGAAAGTGTAACAATTCACTATGGCAGGGCAGCCCCTCCCCTGAAAGTATGCGGTTTGACAGCATTGAATAGGAATCTTTCAGTATCTAACAGCTGATTGCAGACCAATATCCACTAAATCTAGGAGAGACAGTAATGAAGATAGAGAGTTTATGACAGCTGAAGTACAACAGCTTCCAGAAGAGGGTGTTATTGAGCTAAGCGATTCACTTTGGAGAGCCCAAGTCGTCGTGACACGGAATGATAGGCATAGGAAGAGAGTAGTGATTGATTATTCGCTAAGATTGCTCAGTATAAAGTATTTAGCACCATAGATCTGAAAAGTGCATACCACAAAGTTTCACTCAGACCAGACGAGAAAGAATATACTCCTTTTGAAGCCAACCAACGCTTTTATCAATTCCGTAGAGTGACATTTGGAGTGACGAATAGAGTTGCAGCCTTTTAAAGAACTATGGACAACTTTATTTCAGAAGAATCTCTAGATGATACCTTTACATACCTCGACAATATTACTATTTGCGGTTATGACCAAGTTCATCACGACAGAAATCTTGAAAATTTCCTAAAAGCTGCAGAGAAACGAAATCTCACATTTAATCAAGATAAGTGTACTTTCTCGACTACAACAATCAGTATTCCTGGCAGTGTGGTTACCAACGGAGGAATAAAACCTGATCCAGGGAGGTTGAGTCCACTGCAAGAGTTACCTGTCCCCAGAGATCTGAAAGCGCAGAATGGAGCAGTGGGACTCTTTTCTTATTATTCCCAGTGGATAAACGACTTCGCGGCAAAAGTGGTCGACTGGTTGCATTTTTTTCGAGGACATTGAGTGGATCTGAGTTGAAGCATTCGTCAGTGGAGAAAGAAGCCGCAGTTATCGTGGAAGCTGAGAGACAATGGAGGCACTATCTAACAGGAAAGCATTTCTAACAGGAAAGCCTACATGTTCAACACTAAACGTCGAAGTAAGATTAAGAACGACAAGATCATGAGAGGGAGCCTGGAATTGTCTACTTATGGTTTTGACATTGCTAATAGAACCGGGGAGGCGAATGTGCCTGCTGATACCTTTTCAAGAGTGAGAGCAATGAGTCTTAGCGTGGATAAACTGGCCGAGCTTCATCAGTCTCTGTATCTCCCTGGAGTAACTCGTACGGCACATTTTGTCAAAAACCGTAATCTTCAATTCTCCATCGAGGAGATCAAACGTATCACGCAGTCGTGGAAGACTTGCAGAGAATGCAAACCTCAGTATTATCGTCCGGGACCATCTCAATTGATAAAAGCGACGCAACCCTTTGAGCGATTCAGCTTGGATTTTAGCCTTAGATTTGAGTCACTCAGCTTGGATTTTCATGGAGCCGAAATTCCCCATATAACCCATGTAGAAATGGGCAAGTGGAACGTTTGAATGGTACCTTGTGGAAGGCAATATCTCTCGCGCTCAAGACCCGAGAACTTCCTACCAACTGTTGGCAAGATGTTTTGAATATAATGACGCTCTACATTCTATCAGATCTTTGTTGTGCACCGCCACATATGTAACTCCGCACGAGCGCCTCCTTGTCCACCAATGCCGATCGACTAGAGGAACCTCAGTACCTACATAGTTAACAACCCAGGGCCCAGTCTTATTGAAGCGCCATGTGAGAAAATCAAAATTTGATCCATTAGTAGAGGAGGTAGAGCTGATTGATGCAAATTCTCAGTACGCGCATGTAAGATAACCCAGACGGAACAGAAGATACTGTAGCCTCAAAGTACCTCGCCCCCCAAGTTGACAGGAGGACGGAGATACAGCACGAGTTATCCCACCATCAGCTACATATATATATATATATATATATATATATATATATATATATATATATATATATATATATATATATATATATATATATATATATATATATATATCATATATATATATACCATATATATATATCATATATATATATATATACCATATATATACCATATAT